TATATATATATATATATATATATTAGCAAATCTTTTAGCTATCACAACTAAATAACTTTGTTATAAAGGCAAGAAAATTTGCTCCTGTAGTTAATACTTTTAGTTGTCCATATATTAGCAAATCTTTTTTTTCCGTGAGCGGAACAGAGACTTTGTCAAAGTGAGATCGCTCTTCTTCGACTCTGTCTTCCCCGGTTTTCCACGCAGTATATAAGTCTCGCCGTTTACAATAACTAGGTGGCGTTACTCATATCTTACAATTTGATTCAAATCGTTCTCTCTGTGTAGGATCAAAATTTTGACTCGGGAAGTGGCGAATAAAATCTCCTCGCCGAGCAATGTATCTTCGGAATGGCCATATTTTCGGCGCGATAAGACATCGACGAAACGAAGCCGGGAAGCGCAGGATGCAATACTTTAAATTAGCATGCGGGACTTACGGCGATATTTTTCCAGATCGTATTCCCCCTCCTCCTTCACCGTCATCGCCGATGCATGACGCTGCGCTCGCTCATTTTCCACGTATCCTTCGGGGAACACCGTGGACACGTTCATCCCGCTAGGCTTCTGAAACCGCAGCATTTTGTTACGATTACGAGTCCGTGATATCCTTGATCCTTGAGTCAGCCGTGCTTTCCAAGCGTTCTCAGTTGCTCGAGGCTCCGGCTTTTTTTAGAGGATCAGAACAATAACGATCTCTCAATTATCTCACCGCCGATAGACGCACTCGCCGCGATGTGACTGCATTCTTTATCGACGTCGCGATTGTATCAGAGCAGTTGCTAATCCGTCGTCTAAATTCGTCGTATTAGCGCCTTAACGTCGCGCCGCGTACCAAGCTCGACAATCAAAGGACTTCTTAACGTGAACATTAAATGATGTGTGAAAGATAATTTTGCGTGTAATTAGCCAACGTAACGACGTGGCGTATATTGCTAATTCGAGTGCTGGTCAAGCGTCTTAAATCAGGTTTTCAAATTGCTAATTTGTCATCTAAATTCGTTATATTAGCGCTAAATTCGTTGTAGCGCCTGAACCGCGCCAAATTCGATGAAGATGATTAAGGGGCTTTTTAACGTGAATAATAAGTGATTTACGTGAAAAATAAATTCGCCAACGTAAAACGACGTTGCGTATATTGCCGAATAATTTAAGTGCGTGTCTGTCAAGTGTTCCAAGTCGAGTTTTAGAAAATAAATTTACGAAATTACTGGATCTGAAGTAACGACATGTCTTACAATAAAATCTACCAGGCAATAAAATCAAAAGGCGAGCAGAAAAAGAGCTATACAACGTTCGCGAGATACTGTCCTTCATCTATTTTATTGTCGCAAAAATAATGCACGCTCGACCGATTTTAGAGTCACCATTTGACCAATAAAAACCTAGTTAATGTATCATAGTTCTTCCTTTTTCTCTGATCATCACGATTTGGTCTCTACCGTACTTTGCAGGATCACAAAGTGGAAGGCCCCGAAAATCTGCATAAGCGTGTAAATCTCGGGAATTGCATAAATCGCGTCGAACATTTCCATAAATGGCCGCCGCCGACGCTTCTCACGACTTATTTTATATTCTTAGCCGCGAATTATACAGGGTGTCTTAATATATATATTGGGATATATATATATATATATATATATATATATATATATATATATCACGTCATAAATTCTGACTCACACATTTCACAGGCGCACGACGACAAGGCGCTCATATCGCTTCTATCGCCACGTCATAATTATCTCGGCCGCGCCGAAATATCACGGTTTGCCCAAGCGACGCAAACAAAAGACAAGCGCGTAACTTATCCCTCTCGTTTGCGGGAGGAGAGAGCAATCGAATCCGCGCGCGAGTAGGCAATAAAAAGAACTGATAACAGCAACTTCGCCATGCGGCGCGAGCCGTGATTTACGATCGACATTTTCAGCGCCCAACACAGCCGCCGCGTCCAATTTCGTAGGCGCGCGCCGAACGCGTCTCGAGATTGGCCTGCACGCTTTCCCCGCTGCGAGAACCACCCTCGGAGGCTCTCCTATCCCGAAAGCAGTCGCGCGGAACGTGCGAAGAGTGCGTCCGCGGGCCACTTTCACCACCACCGTCCCCAGCACTGACCACCATCCCCTTGTCGTTCTCCCTGATAATTCGGCGAAAGAAGGTGCCTCGGAGAGACCGCGGTAAGATTCACCTTCGGGCGACGATTTAAGCCGAACCTCTTGGTGGCCGAGTTGAAGACGAGAAACTCGCGCCACAGGCTGATGTAAGAGGTCCTTTCGCCGCCGGGACGCTGCATCCCCCGGCTGCCAGGCTCTGCCACGGGCAATCCGCGAGCCACCCGTCGCTGCCACCGTCGCCACCGCTGCCGCTACTGCCGCCACCGTCGGCCATCCACCCCACCACGAAAGTTTAACCTGCGTCGGACAGCGACGACCGCGGTCAGGACTACCTCGCGACGATCGGCGGCTGACCACTGCGAGGGATATCGCGATCCCCGACGCCGACGATCCAGCCTGACACCCCCGGCTCGTGGTTGGCGGTGGTGGTGGCGATGGTGGTGGTGGTGGTGGTTGGTGGTGCACTTGATGACCTTGGCAGCGACCTCGCGTTTACATTGCGTGACGTGCTGCTTACAACGTTTCGGTTGCATCTGCTGTGCGGTTTGCAGCGTCGTCCTCGTTGGAATTGCGATCAATCGTGCAAGAAGAAAACTGAAAGATTGGTCTTTAAATTCTGAAAAAAGAATAGAAACAGAACGGTTGTTGCAGGTTGAAGCCTGAGGATTACTTCGACTTGCAAATTCCGGTGTCGTCGCAAAGCGATTATTTTTGCCTTTGTTATTTTCTTAGTTAAAAACACCCTTCTCTTTTTCTACTCTAAATCCTGTAATGTCTGATGACTTCGTCTTATTTTTAAAAATTAAAAATCCAAAAGAAATACACCCGACTTGCTGAGAATATCCGCTGAGTTTTGAGTTCTTCAGTGTTGTTGTAATAACGATTTTTCTTTTTAACTATAAACGCGCTTCTTTTTTTCTTTTTCAGACTCTATAACGTCTGACGATTCTTGTTTTAAAACGGCGAAGCCAGGTGAGACACACTTGACATTGCCGAGGACCTTGCCCTGAGCGTCCGTTGAGTTTTATACTCTTCTTCCTCGTCGGCGACCTTTGGCTTTTCGCGAGCCAAATCGCGGGCGTTATAAACAGCGAGCATCAAGGCCACTGATAAAAGGTCCCGTCAGTGAAAGGACTCCACGGCGGTGATCTCCGATCGCGGATCGACTTCCGGTCATCGTCTGCAGCGCGGCGGTCGCAATTACTCTCCGCTCCTCTCCCCCGCGTCGCATTTACAATCAGATGCCGGCTGCGATATTATTCCGCAACTGGGTCGACAGACTCGCGCGATTTTCCCAACTGTTAACGACACGGCAGCTCAGAGCTCGCCTTTCGCGAGCGAAGAGCAAGATCGTTGCAAACCTCGACCGATCGATCGAGCCCTGACTAAAGGCTCGAAGACAACGAAGAGTTATCTCGGCGCTATCCCTCAGAGAGAGCTATCTTGATGGCAGTCTCCTCACCGTTAATTACCATCACAAGATTAAATCTGACACATATACATACATTCTGTGCACGCGTTTATCTAGCTTCGCACATGCATAACGAACGAAGGGGGTTCTTCCATTTCTCGATTCTCTCGACCCCATTCTCTCCTTTAACGTGACGCACACAGTGTGACACAATTCGACGCGGCTCACTTCAATTAAAACCCATCTCATTCCACCCCGTCCCATTTAATTTGTTCCGACGCGATCTAATTAATTTTTTTTATTTAATTTCATTGAAAGGATTCCACGCCTCAAGGACTCGCCTTCGCAGCCGCGCGGTCTCGCGACACACCTTTTTTCCCCGTGCACAACTCGACTAATTTACGGAATTTAATTAATTAAGGCGCCGTGCGCCGCGAGCCAGGGCCGCGCCGATATTTCATCCGTTCCTTTTCGGAAGCCGCGCGCGTCCACGAAGGCCGAAGCCTTTGAGGACCCGGCGATTGAGTTATTTCGTTAGTGGTGTTGCGACTCCTGCGCAATCCCGCCGGCGTTCTATTTCGCAGCCGCTAACTGACACTACGGCGGCGGTGAGCTCGCGTGCAGATAAAGCCGCGATAATTAGCATACGTGAGGTCAGCCGATAGACATGATTCCGCTGGCCGCCGCGGAACGTCATATACATAGTCCCGCACTCTTTCTTGCACTCCGTCGTGTAACGATCCGCCTGCGACACGGAGAATCGCAGGATTCGCGCTTTCGGAATTCGCGCGTGGCACGCGCCTCCATGGACTTCCCGGCGCGGGGAAAACAATTCGGGTAACCGAACGGAGACCAGACGGAAAGCCTTTCGCCGACGAGAGATAATAGGCCTATTCTTTGTAGCTGCACTGTTGAACCAGTGCAATAAGTTAGAGTGAGAAAAGAGTATATTTGTCTCACTTCAATATATTGCACCAGTTCAGCAGTGCAGCTACAAAGAACAGGCCTAATCCGAGGAAAATGTATCTAGTAGAGCAGATTTTAAGACTAGTAGCTAGATAGTAATGACTAGATAAGTTTCCCAGCCAATTACATAATAGTTCGTGACTGGCTAAATATTCCTATTCAGTCTTTTGAATGTCAGGACTATCTAGTAACTATACCAATTACGTAGATAGTGGCTAGATGAAAAAGATTGCACAGTAACGAGATAGAAAATCATCGGTAAATCCTGAATAGAAACTGTCTAGTAACTATACCAATTATAGTTACCAGTTATTTTTTTTTGTATCTAGCTACTGGATAATTTTTCTGGTACAGCCACTAGAAGAAGTGAGCGTTACATTCCTAGCTAGTAGCGATGTAAGACCCAACTTCTCTGTGTCATTACTAGACAATCACTAGATTCAATTTTTGCTCGGGAATATCTCCGTGACCGTGACCGTTCGTCCGAGCATCCAAACAGGAAAAATATCTCAGTTCATGCAACTGAATGGGGACCAGACGAAAAATTTGTCGGCGAAAAATGCTCTGTTACTGCGGCCGGGAAGGTCTGTCTGAACATCCAGTTGCATTAAAACTTCATTGAAACTTCGTTGACATAAACAAGAGCAATTGGCTGAGCAGAAATCTCCTACAAGAATCTTTCCTCCAACCAAGTTTTTCATCTGGTTCCCAAGTGACAGGAAATTGAGTTATTTTAACGAAGTTGTTTTTTTTTTCTGCAGAGATTTTGCTCGAATTCGAATTCATCAAAGTTCGATTTTTTTCTTTCTCTTTTTTCTCTCTCTCTTCGCAAGAACGATTTATGACTGAGAGATTTATTTCTGAATTAATTGATGACTTCTCGCGTTGCTATGAACGGAATAACGCGAACTTATTCCCTCGGAGATAAGACGGAATAAGACGGAAGATTGATACGTATGCGGGATATGCCTGGTTTTCCTCCGGCCGTCTCCTTAGAATCTGACACGAAACAGCGCCTGCTTGCGGCTCGCGCAAGCTCCCGGCCGTATTTGACGTCCGCGCGAATCGCATCGAGAGATTGTCCATTTGCATCCAAATCACTTTTACAGCGAATAAAATGACAGGAGCCTGCGGAGAGATCCACGCGACTCGCTCGCGCTGAGCTCACGTCTGAACGTCGTCAACACGTTGAAACGTCGATACGTGTCTTGGCATTTTTCTCTCTCTTTTTTTTTTTTAAGTGACGGCCGCGAGACAAAAGAACGAGGCGGCGATTGACGACGATTGCTGTCGACAGTCGCATGAAAAGAGCGATAATGACGACGATTCTCTGTTGTGTACTCGCGAAATATGCTCGGGCAGTCACAGACCGCGAAATGATTCATCGGCTTTCGGGTCGGGATTAACCGAGCTCGGTTATCCTCGTGTCGCTGACCTGCTTATTATTCCGTTAATCCTCTTCCGAGTGCAATACATTGAGGGAAAAAATATAGTTGAACATTTATTGGTGGGATATAAAGTTCATCCACAGATATATCATTTACAAAATTAAGCAAGTAAGATTTTTTAACGTATCAAAGATGACTTTGAAATCTCTGCTTGCTTGATTCTGAAATCTGTCAAAGAGCAGTAGAGATAATCGACTTTGTCAACTTAATGCAGATCCAGAATGAGAACGCGAATGAAAAATCGACTGTTCTATATCGATCCTAGTGAAATCCTTCGCTTCGTGTTGCTTTTCCGTTTATCTCTCTTTATTTTGTTATTCCTCTCCTGCCGCGTCGATGCATGCATGCATGATTAATGCGTAACAAATACGCAAACACTTGCAATTGAGACGCGTGATTAGAACTCGACTCAGCGCGCGGCCAAATGACAGTGCAACTAAGAATCCAGCTCTACGAGCGACGAGAAGATACCAATAACGCGACGCCTTCGCAAGCATGCGTTGTCATGTTACGCGTTACACGACCCGGTTTTCGATCATGATCGCGATAATATTTCTCTCTCTTTCTCTGTCTCTCCCCTTCTCCCTCTGGCATGTTATAATTGACCGCAGTTATGCAAGAATGATCCGATCCACACGGAATATATATCGGAAAAAGTAAAGATAGACATTTGATACATGATTTAAAAAGTATTGATAGTACACTCTTCGCAATTATTTAAGAAGTCAAGCATAGTTAATTTTCTTCTCTTTAAAAGTGTTTAACCCTTGAAAAATAAGTAAAAAAACGCAACTGGTAGAAGATAAAAACTGTTTCTTAATTAACTTTAGACGCCCATTGGGCTTGGATCTTTTATGTTGAAAGACGTATAAACAACTCGATACTTATAATCTTGTGGATTGCATCGTTCTTGCATAACTACGGCCAATTATAGTTTCACTTGAAACAAAACATTACGCGAGAGCTGCCGGAGGAACGCTTTTGTTGCTTGAAACCGCGGCTGCTTGGCCGGTTGTCAGTTGGCTTGCCGTTACACTTCGCTACGCGGATGACGTAAAATTAATATATTTCGCTGTATTGATAATAGTTACTCGTCTATGTGCGCATTCAAATCGCGTGCCAATGATTGCATAAAGCACACCTTCGCCATTCTTCCGCGCACGCGTCTGTCCGAATGTGTACGCGCGAGCGTGAGACTCATCATCATCATCATCATCCAATATAAGAATGATGATCGCTCGGGATAAATCGTTTCGGTTATGAATTGATCGAACAGCTGCTTAACATTTTCCCGCGCCGGCTGGCCGCGTCGGACGCCCCCGCGCTTTCTGAACGTCGATTCGTTTGTACGCCGATTGTCTTAATGACGCTCGACTTGCTCGCGCGATTGGTTTAACGAGGCAAAAAGGGGAACGAATTACGTAAGATGGTAGGACCACACCGATATCCCGAATTCAGAAGTGTGGATGCTCCAACACGAAAGAACACCTGCTATTTGGATACTTAAGGAGATTGGAGGGTCAGATTGCCTGAAAATTGTGCTTGTTTTTTCGCAATTTTTTATGACAAACTGAATGAATATGCGAAAGTGTTATTTTGACATGTATTTATTCTCAACACATAAAAAGAAGAAAAATATAATTTTGATGATCAAATACTCAATATAAGTGTATGGTACATGCAGTTAAAATATATTTCGTTTTTCTTTTCAAGGTCGTTATTTTGCAATAATATCTTGATTCTCGATGGTTCAATTAAGCTGAATTTTAGGTAGAAAATTTCCGTAAGCTTGTCGTTATTGGGTGAACCACTATAATAGAAATTGAGTAAAAGTTAACAAAATTGCAAATATCTTAATGGAATACTATTAAATTTTCAATTCTTTTGTAGTAAAAAAATTAATATTTCAAAATTAATTATTTTCACGAATTTGTCAGTGATTCACACGATAACGACAAACTTACGGAAATTTTCTACTTAAAATTTAGCTTAACTGAACCACCGAGAGTCAAGATATTACTGCAAAATGACGACCTTGAAAAGAAAAACGAAATATATTTTAACTGCATGTACCATACACTTATATTGAATATTTAATCATCAAAATTATATTTTTCTTCTCTTTATATGTTATATAAATACACGTCAAAATAACACTTTGCATATTCATTCAATTTGTTATAAAAAATTATGAAAGGACAAGCACAATTTTCATGCAATCTGACCCTCCAATTCCCTTAAAATAAAGGTACCAATACCCGCGCATGCACCTAATTTTAGACATCTTTGTTTTAGTCTTTAAATATGAATTTTTGCACTTCTAATATCAAAAACATATATGCAATGTATATATTTTATGTGGAATGTTTAAATATTCGTATTTGAAGATCAAAACAATAAGAATTTTCAGGATTGAATAAGAATTTTCCGGAAATTGGTGCTTTTATTTTAAATATAAAATACAGAAGTTGAATAAAACAAGAAGAGAAAAGAATAATACAATTGTTGCAGGCATATATAATAAAAATAAGAAAAAAATCTAATAAAAAAAATGAAAAGTAACTTTATGCTGCAATTCTAATATACAAGTAAATCGTAAAATCGTAAAGTCGTAGCTTACGAATCAATCGTAATGCTGGTAAAATTCACAAACCGTAACTTTATTGATAACTTCTAGTTAGTCGTAAGATTTACAAGAAATTGTAGATATTTACGAGTCATATGACATACGGTCCGCATAGAATTGCAGATCTACTCGTAAATTCTTATGAGTCTTACGAGAGCAAGTTACGAGTTTTACGATTTTGTCTAGAATTGTATTATTAGACTGAAAATAAACCGAGACAAAAACATACCGAGTATGTATCTAATCATTTCATTGTTTTGGTTTTCAAATATAAATATATAAACTTTCAATGTAAGAATTACATATACATATGCTGAATACATACATATATTTTATGTGGGAAATTTTAATATTCGTATTTAAAGACGAAAGCAGTAAGAATATCCAGGATTAAATAAAAATGTTCCAAACATTGGTGCCTTTTTTTGAGTATAAAATAAATATGAAATACAAGAATTGAATGGAATAAAAAGAGAAAAAAATAATGCAATTTTTGCAGGCATGTAAAATAAGGATGAGAAGAAAAAAATCTAATCGAAAAAAATGGAAGATAACTTTAGATTGAAGATACATTGAGGCTAAACAAAATATTGAGCATGTATTTTGGATATATATTTTCATTTTGGTCTTTAAATATGAATATGAATTTAAACTCCTAACACAAAATATATGTACAAAATTATCCAATATTTTTTCGATAAAAACCTACGTATCGTGCGACTTTTTACATAAAAATATAATATATATGCACATATTGAGAATATATACATATATTTTATGTGTGGAGAGTTTAAATATTCATATTTAAACATCAAAACGATAAGAATGCTCAGGATTGGATAAGAATGTTTCGGGCATTGATATTTTTATCTTAAATGCAAAATATACGAATTGAATGTAAACAGAAAAAAGAGAATAATTACAAGTTTTGCAGATATGTGTGTGAAATGAGAATGAGAAAAATCAAATCGTGTAAGACGGAAAGTAACTTTAGAAAGAGGATAAATCGAGAGAAAAAGAAGAAAACGAACCTGGTAAATGGAATAGAAGTAGATCGTACTGACGCGTGCTGGGACGACGAAGGAACTCATCGTCGCGGTTAGAGGATCCCCCTTCGTTATGCATCGCGTGCACCGCAAGGAAGTACCGTTGGGACTGTACTTTCCTTTTCCTACAGAATCACCGTTTCCGATTGTACGTCTCGGAAAAAGTCACGATCGAAAGAGTCCCGAAGGCCGAAGAAACTGCTCGTTGCGACGGAAGTAATATCATATCGTTTCGCAGCTTGATCGGACTTTATTTCGCCGCGAGACATTCAAATCTCCATTGATTTATTAGTATGAAAGAGTACCGTGTACCATCGTTCTATGGCACCGAGATTTTTTTCTTCCGGTTCGTCGTATCTTGGATATTTCAAGCGATGCGGTCGTCACAAACGAGTTTTGCGCTCGCTTCCTTTCTAACTTCCTAAAGCGATTGCGTTTCACAACGGGCCGTCTTAGAAAAAAGGGCGATTGCGACACGTAGACTAAGAAGTAAGTCGAAGACGAGCCAAAGGGACAAGACCATCCCGTAGATGAAATCGAGCAGATGAAGCCACGAAGATGATTCCGAGGCGATCTCAAAACCATCGACTGTCGTTTCTCAGCGGAGTTTCGCGCGAGAGAGTAACTTTATCTTTACTTCACTTCACAACATTCATCTCGAGATCGCGAAGAAACCTCAAGCCGGACATCCTCGACGTCGACACGGACTCACGCCATTCTTTCGCGGGGAACTCCTTATTTATTAAAACGGCGGTTTCGGTATGCCACGCGTGTTCTTCTCCCATCGTCGTTTGCGCGCGTGTACTCGCCGCTTTTAACTGTGATATCCCTACTCTGATGCCAGTCAGTTAGCCAGCCAGCCAGCCGGTAGAGCACCAGAGCGGATACCTACGTGAGGCCCGACCGGCTCGAAAGCTCAGTTCGCGACAGTTGTCGCTCGGTCGCTCTCAAGAAGCCATCTAGGCTTCATCGTGAAGCAGCTTCAGCCCGAAGGACTTGCAGAGAAGCTCTCTCTATCTCTGTCTTGAAGGACAAGCTTCAGAGGAAAGAAGCTCTCGAAGAACTTTCCAGCCGTCCACTGAGAACTCTTGGAAGAAATTAATAGAGCTACTCTTGAGGGATTCTCTATCGTCAAGGGACTGTCGAGGAACTATCGAAGGACCTGCGCGGAGAGAGGATCGGAAGGGACTGTCTTTAGTGCGAGAATCAGTTAGAAAACTTCGGGGTGAGTTAAGACCTGTTGACGCCTAATATCACTTAATATTACTTAATCGTCATTTAATGTCTCATACGAGTGAAAAAAGGAGTAATTTTAGTGCGAATAGTAAAATATCTGACATAATACAGCAATTGACTGTTAATATTTCTTTTCCGTTCTTTCGACTCTTCAATTGGCTTCATTTGACAATGACAGTAATGTATAGTGATGTGGGGTAACCTTTAACACATTCATTGCCACGATTTATTTAAAGGATTCTCTCTCTTCACAGCCTATCTCGAATTCTTTCATATAATTTTGTAAGACAGACATAGTTTGGTGACATGAACATGGCAGAAAAGAAACATTTTTGCCATCGCACATATGTGATATTGATGACAGACGTATTAAAAGTAGAGTTCATAAAAAAATAAGATAAAAATCTGCGTCGGCTCTAGGATTAAAAGTTCAGTTTTCTTTGAAATAAAAAGCTGAGTTAGTTCAATATTAATAATTACGTTTACGTTGAAGCGAGCGCTCGTATTATGCGCGACTCTGCCAATGTCATCTTGCGCGGCGTGAACGCAGTCACGTTGACAGCAGGGTTGCACGTTGTGCAGTGCGAGAATGCATTCATTCGCGTTGCTCGCTAACAGCGTTGCAACAGCTGCTGCAGCTTACGACTCAAGAAACGGTAGCAGACCACGTTGCTGGCAACGTTGACGATTGATAACTCGCGAAAGCCAATAGAGATATTTCCGCGGTGACATCACACAATAACGTGTAATAACGTAGACTACCGATAAGAACAATACGACAACAGGACAGGAGGAGAAAATGCAAATCAATCCAATTCAATCCGAGCCTGAATAGTTTCTATAAATTTTAACTGACTGAGGAACTGAATTTCGATTTTGAGATTAAGATTAGTAAATGGCCTAACCTAATAATAACTTATTTAATATATTATTTGATAATTTTAGAAAGCTAGTAAAATAGTAACTTAGAAAGAAAATATAGAAATAAAAAAGTTTTTATATGAAGCTCAAGAGGAATATTTAGTCCTTAAGATGAATAAAGCGTTTATATGAGTATTTAACTCATGTGTCCGTAAGATCTTTTATAATGCTATATATTGATATAGCATATACAACATATAGTAATTAGAGAACTGAAGGCACAAAGTAACTTGAGAAATTTCAAAAAATTTTGTATCAAAATTTTCAAAACAAGAGATATGAAATATGAGATGCAGTACAATTTTTATCTATATCTTTCATACCTGACAAGCTTATACGGCATTTTTATTTATTACCTTGCTGTTTCATCGACTGGACTATAGTATGTGTATATGTGTGCAGTTGAAAGTTTTTAATAGTATTTTAAGAAATAAAAACTTTAATACTTTCTCTAAATTATCTCGATAAATAGTTTCTTTCTTTTTATCTAAAAGACAACTCAGAGATTATCAGATGTATATCTGATGAGAATATCAGAACAACGTTGTCTTATCTTGTACATTAGTGCAAAAAACATGATTACGGCCTATTTGTGCAACTATCAAAAACAACGAATTTTACTGAGAACTTTAATCACCGTTTTAACGTAATTACCGTAAATCACCGATAAATCACCGTCTTAACGTAATTTCACCGTAAGTAATCACTGCGGATCTGACGATAATTTTACATCTCCAGTTGGAATTGAGTGTTCGACGGCCGCAGTGAAAAAAGCCGCTCGCACCACGACGCAAAGTGGAACGAGCGAATCGCCAGTCCGGCGATGGCCGATCGTCGATCCTTTAAAGGGACCGAGAAGAAGTCGTACGCGGTGCGTCCGGAGAAAGAGGACGAGGAAATAAAGAGCAGCGGGAAAATGCCGCGGCTATATAGGGATAACGATCTCTCTCTCTAACGGCGGATCGAGCGGCGATAAGTCGCTGAGGATCTAACGGGTGATTTATGCTTCCGAATCGACCGGTCTGTGTCTTCGTGGAACGATCGGATGCGATCGCGCGCGACGTGTGCGAGTCTCAAGTGGAATCTCTCAGGTGATGCAAGCGAGGTGACGCGGAAGAGCGCGAGAGGGAGAAGGGAGAGAGATTTTATGATCGCAGATGGAAAGTCGATATCGGTAATTGTACCATGAAGGACGATGCTTATATGTGTGTGTATATATATGTATATATAATTATTATATATACATACATATATATATATATATATATATATATATATATATATATATATATACACATTACGTACAGAGTATTCCAGAACAATAGTGCCATCGCTCGTGAGAATGTAAATTACGTCAAACTAAATAAAAAATTCCTCTATTATTTTATCAAAAAACCACGTAGAATTTTTAGTTATTGATCAAAGAAGATTCGTGAATGATTACGATGTGATCACGGTGGTACCATTGTTCTGAGACATCATATATATATATACAGGATGTTCCACCTAAACCAGGCTGCCTAAATATCTCCATCAATTGTGACGATACAAAAAATATTATACGTAAATTGAATGGTAAAAAGAGACCAATATGTTGTAAGAAAGGTTATTTTTTCAAAGTCATTTTTTTCGGAGTTTTCAAGATCACCGTTTTTTTCCATATAAATGCATATTTTTTTTATTGCATCGTGTAGCTGATGTTAAAATACGTTCAGATATATATATGACATTACCTTTGACATTGACTTTTGACTCTGAAAATTAAAATAAAACTAGTGTTATCGCACTACGAACGACCTTTGAAAGCCTTAAGACTTGATTATTTCCAAGCAATTTATCAGTTTATCGATCTATCGTTCGCGATAAGTTACTCAAAGCAAGAGAAAATTGAAGGAGATATTTAGATGGCCTGGTTTAGATGGGACACCCTGTATATATATACACATACATATATATGTATGTATGTATATATATATATATATGTGCGTATTTTTTCTTTCTTCTTTCTTTTTGTCGCTCCACCGCATATAACGAAGCGTGCGAGAGGGAAGTGGAGCGTTGACAGGAACATAGGAAAAGTCGTGGTTGCAAAAGCGAGGAAACGGGCGTGCCTACTACTGCTAGAAATTTCAGGCTTCACGGTGATCTGTGGCGTGTGTCCGTGTTGCGCCTTGCTGATAGCAGTAATCGAAAACCGTAAGCCGAGACCGTTGTCGCGTGAAAGAGACAAGTCCGTGATCTGAACGTTCTCTCTCGCAAATTTCGACTTGACTATTGTGCAACGTGAAGACGACAAAATAACGAGAACAAGCTTGTTTACGAAATACTTGGACAAGTTTCCATCTATCTGGATAATTGTTATTGCGCACATTTCCCACTTGACACATTACAATGCGGTGATATTCCATCGTGTATAAATCACGATGTTTATTCTTGAATTTAGAGGAATATCCAGAAATTCTGAAAGAATATTTACGAAAAAATTTAAGAGTAATTATCGCCCGCGAGATATTGTGACGAAATATATGGACCAATTAAGTAGTTACCTACAATTCCAGCCTATACATTCGCCGGAGTTTTGAATATATCGTCTTCGACCGCCGCGACTGTTACAATTCAAACGTCTACTTATGATTATTTAATAGTAACGCGTTAATATGAACTTCACAACTACACACATTTGATTATGGATTTATACAAATTGCTTTTTTTATTTTGACGAGAAGAATACGCTTTAGGACTTTGTTCAAGTACTTCGTAAATACTTTGTATAGCTCGGTATAGAGAGGCACAGCCTCCACGCGTAGTCTCCGCACGGAAAACTTTCCGCACGATCCATCTGAACGCCGCGTTCGTAACGCGTTTAACGGCATAAAGAAGATTGCCGGTGCAAACGTTAAATAATTGCTCGATCTGTTAGCGCGAATGGGTCGCCGAGGTGACAACAACGTGCTGGTTTACGCACGCAGTCAGATTAAAAGTGATAGAAAGAACGCATTTGCGAAATTAAGCTCGCGCGGATCGCGGCGGATCGGACAGATGGACGTAAACGACGGAAATAGAGATTCATTGAGCTTCACGTTGAATTTCCCGCGCGCACCCCGCTCTCAATTAACGTGCGAACATTCCGCGCTTTTGCGTCCCGGCGAAAAATTTTCCGGCCAAAGCGGAATTCGTCAATTCAGCGAATTACGGGTTCGCGCGCTGTGGAAGGTGGCGAGAGAAAGTAGGAGAAAGAACGCGAGAAAATTTCGCCCGGCATCTCGCGCCCAGCGATGCTCCGCTCGTGAACTCGTCCCGTCGCTCTGCAAACTTTCGCGAGGACAAGAGGATAGAATAGATGCGTGTCGCGTCAGCCTGTATGAAGTTAGCCCCCCACTTTTCGAATTTAATAATTTTGACAGTTGTGCTGATTTGTGCTACATTGTGCTCGAATTATAAATTTTTAATACGAAAAATGAGCAAGAAAAATGGAAAAAACCGTTTTTTTGGTAGCCTCCCACTTTTCGATTTTCGAAATTTTTTTTATTGTGTTAGGTTGTGTTAAGTTGTGCTAACATTGTGCTAAAATAGTATCTTCGAAAAATAATCACAAAAGAAATAAAACGAAAAAAACGATTTTAGGCAAAAAAGAAGAAAAGTAAGATTTACACGTATAAGTCAACCAAACGATATACAATATCTGAGTTGTGCTAGCCTAGCACAAGTCAGCACAAGTTTCAGTTTCGCCAGCACAAGAATCTAAAGGGCACTTTACTCTTGACCGCGGCCTTTGGCACTCGCAGTCTATGTCATTAATCACCACTTCTAGATTTTGCATCGACTCAGATATGCAATTCTGAGTCGATTCAAAGTCTAGAAATAGTAATTAATGGCATAGATTGCGAGCGCGAAGGGCCGCGGTCAAGAGTAAAGTGCTCTTTAGATTCTTGTGCTGACGAAATTGAAACTTGTGCTAGCCTAGCACAACTCAGATATGCAATTCTGAGTCAA